TATTCCCGTCGGAGATTAAAGTTACGCTCTCGAAACGCCACTTGGGGGGAACGTTTTTTCGAAAAACCATTTTAAAATTGGATGAAACTCCATGAAAGGAATCTGCTTACAAAATTTCAAGAATGAATGTCTAATAATTTAAAAATGGAAATAATTATCTGTGACGTCCCTTAATCCTCCGCAACGGCCTTTGGGGGTCGATTTTCACAAAATCCGTTCTTAGGGGATCTCTACCCCATGAAAAGAACATACTTACCAAATTTCAATTATGTAGGTTTAAGGTATCCGACTACTTTCGGAACCGTGATTTTGCACAAAAGAGTATAAATGGATAATATTTATGATATTTAATATCACTTAGGTTCTGTATTTTTTTTATAAATATATATTTAGAAATTTTAACTGCATGAGGTAAAATTCTAAGAGTAGATTTTTAAAAATTTAAAAATTATGACCTGTACACACCGAAAAAAGATAGAATGGATCTGCAAAACTTTTTGTAAAAAATTTTTTTCCCTTTTTATGCAACTCTCCCCGTAGAGATAGAATATTTTTTTTTTTAAATTAAATCTTTTTAAACCCCAAACACTAGGGGCTGTAGAGTAGCGGGCCCCTTCATAAGATTGCCCCCCGGGAAACGCTAAATCTGTTTTTGCGACTGCCGCTCTCTACAAATCTTTTTTTTGGGTCTTTCAATTTTAAGTGCCAACCGTCCTACAATGGATTTGCGACGTTTGAAATTCTCCGGTGGAATGCTGGAGGTTTTCTTATGGAAAAAATAACTCAATTGCCCTGACTTTTCCCCAAAGCTCTTACGATATTGATTTCTTTATAACTGAAAATTTAAGCTTGCCATGAATCATTGAAATCCCCCTTTTCTTTTTAGTCCTTATTTTTTTAAAAAATTCTCCCATTAATCGGAAAGAATCGCCAGTGGTATTTGGGGTTGGTGAAAAAATGGGGTTGTTTCCCTGACTTCCGAAATAAACCCTTTCTCCTCAAACAACGGAACAGAAATCGAAAAATTTGGATTTTGTGGAAATGGAAGAAACATTTTAAAATTTATGTTTGTTACACCCCCCCAGTAACATCAAACTTGACTTTGGCCTCCTCCTATCCCCAAAGTAAAAACTATTTTTTTGCGGCGACTTCAATGACCATAGTCAACTCTGGAAATAAAAAAGACAAATTTTTTCTAAATTTAGTGATAGAAAATTTTTTTGAATTCTGGAAAAATGATTTTTTGTATAATGAATCCCCAAAATAACTCAACCTATCTGCTTTAAAAGGTAAAAATAATTTGGGGCCCCTTGATTTTTTTCCTCTGCAGATTTTTCCCGATTTTGCAGAGATGGAAGTTTTTGACCCGGGTTTCCCGGCAACCCATGATTATTCTACTTTCAACTTTATCACTAAGAAATCGCGGGGGATTCCATCAGATACAGATGGAACATTACAAAAAACTTTTGGGAATGTCTTTACTCTAGATCTTGAATCTATCTTCGGTTCTACTACTAACTTCTCTGAAGAAGGCAAGAGTATTGATTCTGCTTTTTTAGATTTAGAAAAATTATTCTTACCTCAAAAAAGTGGATACCGAGAGGCAAACAATTTAAATTTAAACCTTTCTGGAATGAAAATCTTGCCATTCTTAAAGAAAAATCTTCTATGGCTCGTACTACTGCGGAACATTCCAAAAAATCCCGATGATATTCAATATTGAAGAAAGTGTGTTTATATCCTTCGAAAAGAAATTCTTTCTGCTGAAGGAAACTGCTTCAATAATTTCATTTCTAAAATTGATTATAGGAAGCATGGCAAAAGAAGTTAACAATCATGTGAACAAATCATTGAACCAGATTGCATCCCTCAGAGAAAACGTTGAAATATGGTAGTCGTATTTTAACTGATGAGAGAAATATTTCGAACGCCAGTAAGATTACACAGTAACATACAAATTTAGAAGTCACCGAAAAATATTTTTTGCATTTTGACCCATATCATTGGAAAGACTACCACCAAATTTTAGATCTGTTTAACAAGTTAGTTTTTTAAAATATTTGAAGTTTTTTTGAGCTTAGGTTTTGGTTTCGGTTTTTATTTTAAAGCATTTTTTCCCCTCTTAAATTGATGTAAAAATTGATGTAATAAAAAATATTTTTGAGTAGGGTAAACTCTTTCAGTGTGAAATGGATATTAATTTCAATTTTCTTTACTAAAATCATTTCCGCTTGATTATGTTCTGAGTCTTTTGCTGGCTTGATACCACAATTAAGACTACCGAATACGTAATCTGAACTCAAATATTGCAGATAAAACTGAATATTTCCTTGATGTACCAAACTGCATTATAATAAACAAATTATAATGCTATATTTTAGTATTTTAAAAGGTCACCAAAAAAGGGTAAAAACTTCCCAAGCTGCTGCGATTTAAAACTGAAAAAAAAAAAAATAAATTTAATGAAAAAACCTTTTCTATTTTTTGCTTAAAGGTTTTCCAACTGAAAATTCGGGGGAAAAATTTTTTTTAAAATATAACTTTATAATTATTTAATTGTTATTTTTTTAAATTTGGGATGTTGCAAAACTTTAAAATCAGCAAGAAGAAAATTTTTTTAAAACTTATTTTTAAAAAATTGAGAAATTTTTACCAAAAAAATTGCAAAAAAAACTCTTTTCTAACAACTCTAAAAAAAATATATCCCTAAAAAAAAATAAAATTTTTGCGGGGGTACAATTCTTCAATGATTAACTATGCTATCTATTAATAAAAAACCCAAAATTTTTCAATAAAAATTTATGAAATACACGTGTTCGACCCTAAAAAAAACAGAATACTTCTGAAAAAGTTTTTTTTTTTTAAGGGTTTTACTACTTCTTTTTGGGGGGGTTAAAAAAAATAGCATGAGGGGTAAATTTTTTGATGCGTGCGCCCCCCGTCCCGGGTGTGACGCACACCATCACCCGGGTGCGAAAACGCTTTGTCTGAAATATACAGAACGAGACACATCATTCCCCCCTTAGAAATCTCAGGAAAATATTTCTCTTCACTTCTCGAAAACGGGGAAAACCCCGGGAACCGGGGCTTCTCGATCCCCCAAATCAAATGCTTTACCACTAAGCTAAAAAGACCCGCATCGGGGAAACCTTTCCTTCGGTTTTCCCTAGGAACGGATACCAAAAAACGTCCCCCAACCAGGGTTCCCAAAAATTTTTTTCTCATTTGACCCCTTGCAATGTTTATCGGGTTTTTGGAGCCTCCCGCCTAACTAATATTGAATTTTTTCCCCAAATTTTTAACAGATGTCTTTTTTAAAAAGCTGGTTCTACTACTTTGAAAAAAATTAAATTTCTAACTGTAGTGAATATGGCTTAAAAAATTAAGTGCATGTTAATGAATTAAATTAAAATAAAAAAAAAATTAATACATAAAATAACTGAACAACAAACCTATTTTTTTTCATGAGAGGGATGAATCTGGTTCTTCAATAACAAATTTTCAATATTTAATATCAGTCTAGTCAGGTTTAACCATAAATCTCCTTTGTTAGTAAGTGTCCAGTTACCGCCCCATCCCTTCTTTTTTTGTTTTTAAGATTGGCAAACTCACTGAAACTCCCCCTCACTAGGAAAAGCAATTATAAACTTTCTCATGATATTCCATAATTCGCGACAAATAACAGGAATGTCTTTTTAAAGCCGAAAATTGCTGAGATCAGTTTCTAAACTTTTATTTTAAGATCGTTAGGGCATATTATGATCAGTTCCTGTTGTAATATGACATTTATTTTCAGTGAGACAATATGTACTGTGGTTAGTATTATAAAAACAGTTCCCTACGTAGTTTTTAAAATTCTTAGCCAAAAGGGGATTTTTAAAAAATGAACGTAGGTTAAAAAAGTCCGGCGGTTTTCTGTGACAAATTGAGAAAATTCGGGGCGTCCCAAAAATTATACTTCTATAATTTAATTCTGGTTATAAATATGAAATGGGGGCCACATTAATAAAAGGTTAAAAACGTCGGTCTCTGGGAACCATAAATTAACCTCACTAAATTTTTAAATAAATTAGTTTAATTTTGGAAAAAAAATGGTTTCCCAAAAGATCCCAATTTTTTTTAAAAATTGAAAGTCCCGATCTGGTTTAATGACAGCCACTATAAGACCCCCATTTACATCTTATGGACCCCTAATTTATTTTTTCGCTGGCGTGGACCCCTTGCCGGTCGTCATAGACTCCTGGAGGTCTATATAGACTACTTTGGGAATCGCTGATTTACACCATTCATTCGGTGGTAGAGGCCACAAGCATTGCTGAAATAGTGTCCTGTCCCGTCTCTCCACCAAAGAGGGGTGGATATTGCACCACAGTTCACGCATTCCCGGCCTTCATTGAAAGGATGATAGGCACTAGGGTTCAAAATCTATAAAAAATTAAAGTATTGTAATTTCAAAAATAAAAAATGATTCTCTACTTGATACATTTGAATTCCAATCAACGTTCTGAAAATAATTTAAATTTAAGCGATACGAAAGCAGCATTTTCAAGGTAATAGCCAACATAAAAATAATAATATAATGATATCCATAATGACAATAATAATATTGATTAAAAATTAAGGCTGTCTTCGTATTATATTAAAGAATAGGACTCGCATTTGGAATATTCTTTCATAAATAAGAATATTTTAATATTAATATCGCATTTTTTTTTCTGTTTTCGCACGCGCGCTATCTTATAAAGAATATCAATCAATTTTTTTTTAAAGATTATAAGTCCCGATCTGGTTTAATGACAGCCACTATAAGACCCCCATTTACATCTCATGGACCCCTAAATTATTTTTTCGCTAGCGTGGACCCCTTGCAGGTCGTCATAGACTCCTGGGGGTCTATATAGACCACTTTGGGAATCACTGGTCTAGAAATATACAGAACGGGACAGAGCATTCCCGTCTTTGAAACCTTAAAAAAATACTTCTCTTCATTTCCCTGAAGAAGAGGACACCCGGCATGAACCGATGACCTCTCGAACTGCAGTCGAATACTTTACCACTGAGCTATACCCCCGTTTCTGCGACCCTTTGCTTTGCGCTGTTTTGTGACGTCACTACTAGTAGAGAAAGATCGTCCTTCACCTACGGAGCTTTTCTGATGTATTTGTTTGAACACTTTTTGTTGTTAAACCAAACATACTTACAGGAAATTAAAAAAAAAATTAATAAATTAATCTTTAAATTGTGTTTCATGCACATAAAGCATAATAGTAAATATTAGTTTACCTATTTAAATAACAATTGCAAGTATATGATTATAGATTTTACTACGAACGCATTGCGATGATTATAAACACATTTATTCCATTGTAGCAAATTATAAGATACTTTTGTATTCGTATATTTATTTTTGGTTATACTTCTTCTTGGGCGTTAGGGAAAAAAGATGAGGCTAAATTTTTACGATGCGCACGCTCACCGGTTTCTAATATTTTAACATGCCACTTTTTTGGTGCTGTGGGACTGATATTTGGGGGATCATAATAACTATTGTTATAAACCATATCGGTTGGGACGCATTCCCCCTACAGCTTTTTGACCAATATCTTGGCACCCGAGCCTCACAGTCCATCCGGTCCTCGCTCATTCGAGTCCCTCTCTATCTTCTCTTCCAGTTATTATAATTTCATGCTCATAGGGCTATTTCTTCCATAGTTTTTAACTGTCTTAAACTTTTTAAATTTGTTTAAATTTACAATATCTTGGCTCTTGTTCGAATCTCGGATTTGAGATTTGAGCCAAGTGTTCTACTCGTCGAGGCCCATTCAGTCATCTGCTTCATTCCCATTGGGTAGGCATGGGGAGGCTTAAGCACTATAATATGCTCCCATGTTAATCCTATGGGAACTGGAAAAATTTCACCCCTCCCTAAGGGTTGGGGCTTGGAATTTGATTTTTGGAGGTCCACCATATTTCCGTATTACCGTGAGCTTTACGTGGAATTGGCGCCCTTCCCCTACAGGGCTTCCCCAGAAATAACTCGAATCCTATGCCACCTTGGTCAACTGCACTGGCTTTATTCGATTGTTCTTTCTATGAGCATCCTAGATATATTTTTTCAGGACCCATAGCCCCATTTCTTTAACCATGTGTAACATTTTTAATTTATTTTAGTGCTATAATTTTTTTTAAAATCCCGCATAGCTCCGAAGACTTTTGAGATTCGTTAATGAAACTCGGACCATAGGTTCTGCTTGTTGAGCTGTTTCATCTGTTATAATTCGTGTGTGATAATGGGATTGGGGGCGTTATCACTAAAATTAGAATCCCCGTGTTTTCCTATGGGTTCGATCTTTTGATGACGTAACAATATTAGAGATAGAAGGATAAAACTTTGGGATCATCTACTACTCTGTTTATCGTTGGGATGTACGTGACCATTTACGTCAAGTTATCCCGGGGATTAGTTTCGTTTTTCCTATCGAGGTGCGCCCCCATTTTCACTACAGACTACTTCTAATGGATTACTCTTGTGTTTCTCCAGTTGAGTATCGTTGTTGGGTGCCTTTACTAATTTTATTTATTGTTTTAATGTTTTAATCATTTTAAATGACTTAACTCGGGCATTTCAGGGGAGTTAATTTTGGGATACTTCTGTTTCCTGCCGAAATCATTAGCAGTTCCCATTGGGTCATTTGGTTTTCTTTCCAGATCAGTCTGATACCCCCATTTTAATTAGGCCTAGGTCTAGTGCAGGGGTTGATTGATTGATTGATTGATTGAATATTAACGTCGCACTGTTGCGCCTTTTCTCGTGTTTTTGGTCGACGGTTACATTTTTAAACCATGGCTCAGGGCTGGACGCACTGAATTTCCCCCGATCTCTAACTCCACCGCGACATCCAACGGGAGGACGTTTCACATCTCGACAGATTTACTGCATCCTCCATACGGCGGGTCTTTAGTGGTATTGGGCCTAGTGCGGGGAATTTAAATTTATTTAAATCGTGTTTATTTCAGGTTTGGCTGGTCCGATTGACTGAAGGTTAGTATTGTTCGACTCAGCTCGTGCCTGCCTTTCGTCCTTGGCCCAGCTTGCCCTGCTAAAGATTCTTAGAAAGATTTTAATCTTGTTACGCCAAAGAAGTATAACTACTTACGTGCGTTAATAAGTACACACACACACTTTTTTCCATATAAAATTACATTAAAAAATAACTTAATTTTAAAATTATTCTTAACTTTTAGCAGAAAGCATTCATTATAATACAAAGAACAAACTGAAAAAAATTCATAAGAATATTTCGTTTACTTTAAAAAATATTATTCTTACCGTTAACCATTATGTTCAAAAATAACATTCTTCAGAAAATGCAAAATAAATTTTTTATTTGCAATAAATTTTTTAAAATTTTAGGAAGGAATTAAAACTCTCCAGATTTGTATATGTTGGGCCTTCCTGAATCTCATACTTCAAACTTTTACATTTTTGAAGAGCCTTTATTTTTTTAGAGACAGTTTCTTATCTGGTTTCGAATGCCTCGTAGAACCAAAAATTCTCGTTTTGTCAAGGTACCAAAAATATCCTTTCATTTCAGAACATAATTTAATTCCTAATTTTTGAAGTAGAGGTAATAGACCAGCAAATGCAGAATTATAAAAAGTATTACTGCGATATAATTCCTTAAACGGAGTGTTTGTATCTCAACAAAGGTCTTTCGGAATTATACTCCACACGACATTGTTATGACTTTCATTGCAGTTCTGAGCTTTCCCGTGAAGACATTGTCATAGAAAATTTTGATCGCTAAGTTCCTTATAAGTCTTTTTAATAGAATTAATAGCTGAATTTTGAGTATCCGTTGATTTTTCTTTCAACGTTTTTCCGATAAATTCTGCTGTCTGGAAATCCCTTCTCTTATTTGGCCTCATTGATCTTGTTTTTTGCATGTCAACTTTAATTTATAATTAAAAATAACTAACTTTATACAAAAGTACTAATAAAAAAGTTATAAAGAGATCTGATTTTGAACACAAATGATAAAAAGATAGCGCAACTCGTTTAAATCAAAGTAAGCATTGCAATCAGTTAACCGTTGCCTATTTTCAAGCAAAATATATCTATTAAAAATTTATAAAGTGAAATAAAGTTTACTAAACATAAAAAGAATTCATTAAAATATTTTAAATGAATAAAAGTCTCATTTTGCCGGTGAAAATCATCCGAAAACTCACACTTACGGTTTCGATTTGGGCTTACTATCTCAAATAAAAATAGCTATAACTTTTTTTTTCTAATTGACTCAGAATTAAAAGTACGACATTTTTAGAAAGATTATTAAACAGGCTACAAAAATGGGCTATAAAATAAATTTCGATTTTTTTGATGAAAATGATGATTTTAAACTAGTCGGATACCTTGACACAGTATTCTTATTATTTGTTACATAAATGTTTTTTGTTTCAAAATTTTTGTGAGAATATTAGGTTATGATTAAGCTGAATAAATTCTCGTCTTAATAAAGGCTATCAATATTATGCAAAAGCATAATTTAAATTAAAAAAAATATTTTTAGTCGAATTTAATTAAAATATAGTGTTTTAATGTAGAACATACATTAGAAGACAACATATTAAAAATTAGAGCCTTACGGGTATTATAAGTTTTTGTTTTATGCCTTTACAATTTTTAACGCTTTTTTCTGAGACTTTAGTTTAGAAAATATAAGTGTTTTTTAATTCCTGACACTTTTTAACCGTTCAGGATAGAGCTTTGCAAATTTTTGTATATACTCTCAACCTTATGTTCTATAAAAGTTCGTATAGATTTAGGGCTGAGATCTCTAGCTATTTTTTAAAAAAAAATGCTAAATTTACTATTTTAAAGAATTTCGTGGTTTTATTTATTATTTTTTTTCATTTTTAGCTAGAAAAATAATTATTAAAGATAAACAAAGAAATAGATTTTCAAATCCATTCTTTTGCTTGCAATAATCTAAGAAATATAAATATCTTAAAATGATTAAAAATTTTAAAAATGGGCATTTTTATAAGAATTGGAAAAAAATTAAAAAATTCTTAATTTTTTAATATTATAAAATAATGGCTGATCATACTGACTTTTTTCTTCCAGAATCAACTTAATAATATAATCTTAATATAAAACAAATTATTTTTCCTGTTACTGTGTCCAAATTTTTTTTTAAAAATTGGTACTGTGTACGCTTAAATCCTTTCATTCTTCTAGGCAACGCTTGGGGTCTCAACAGAAGTCTATTAGACGAAAACTTCATCATTTCGTCTTTTCCTTAAATTGTGGACATGTATTTCTTACGGAAACTTTAATGTGGTAGAACTTGTAGAGGCTATTAAATGCGTTAAGAGTGGCAAGAGCCCTGGTCCAGATAATTTCCATCCTGAATTTCTGATACACTTTGGCAGAAACGCACTCTCTATACTGTTAGAGCTTTACAACTACAATTGAAACACTGGTGTTCTAGCGATTTGGAAAAGGCTGTTACTGTTCCTCTACTTAAAATTAATAAACCCTCGGATAATTTAATTAGCTTTGAACAATTTCTGTAACACATATTCTATTTAAGGTCATGGAAAGAATTGTACATCTCGTCTAAGCTGGTTTCTCAAGTCTAATAATCTCTTATCCCCATCTTATCTTAAAACCAACAAGTAAACCTGTAAGCCAGTCTATAAAGAACGCCCTCGAACAGAGGAGCTCTATTTAATCTGTGTTTGTGGACTTCGAGGCTTCTGTTGATAAAGTTTGGTGACTCATATGTATCCAGAAATTCCAAAACTTGGGTGTGTGCAGTAATATGCTTTTTTGGATCAAGAGTTTTCTTTCACAACGCTTCTGTGCCACTTGTGTTTGGTGATTCTGTGTCCAACTTTAAACAGTTATCAGCCCCCTTTTATTCAATATCTTTATCGATGATCAGCCAGGCATTTTGACTTCTGATGGACTGATTAATGCCACTCTTTTTGCAGACGATCTTGCTGTTCGGTGCTGTGCATCTAAAGAAGAACAGTCCGAGCTAAATACTTAAATTACGTGGT